CACATCTGGGTACCCCCCTGCAGCCAGGGACGGCCTCCTGTGGTGCAAAATAAAACATTAATGCAACTCCCTGTTTACCAGTTTGGAGACATCTGGTACCAGCTCACTGGCTACCGCAGCCTGTTTGCACTCTTTTATATTTTTAAACAGGCTCCAGCAAACCTTTCTGGCACAGCGAAGCCATCCAATTGTGAGACAGCCAGGGGGGACAAGGCATTGCTCAACTTTATTGAGTTAAAAAACATACAGATGAAAAAACATCAAGAATGGGTAAGAATGGCACAGGCAGGTTGAGCCACCCGAGGAAAGCAAATACGCTTCAGGTTTTTAAAGCGTCTTAAGTGTTACCTGCAAAACCGGAGCAAATTAAAACTAATACATGATGGGTGTGTGCACGAGGAAAAAAAAAAAAAGGGGGGCAAATTCCACCTCAACGAGTGACACCCGCTGCTCGCATGACTCTTCTTTTCCCTTCTTTCCAGCCCTTTCGGAACACGTCACCAACTGCTATGAAAATGGAAAGAGCCATTTCCCTTCTGCAAATACCTTCTACATTTTCACCCTCTGACTAATTCCAGGGTTAGAAAACTGAGCCAACCGTGGCAATTTCTTTCCCAGCCCCTCATTTTATTACTATTTCTTTAATCATCAGTGTGTTGAAAGGACTGTAAATTGCCTTTGCTGTGGCAGAGGTGCTCACTGCTAGTCTTGTGGGTTCTCTGGCCCTTTTTTGGCTGTGTCAACCCAACACAGAAGACTGTTGGAAGTTGCTTAAAGGCCAGTGATGTTCTGGGTTGGTGCTGGATTTTTTTTTTTAATCTATGTAAAAACGGTTTTTAAAATCTCGGTGACTGTTCAGTGCGTGGCTAAAGGGAGGGGGCGTGTGAAAAGACCAGGAGAATAGGGTGGGCACACTAACCCTTCCAACTAACTAGAATCCCTGCCGAGCCATGAACCTGCGAGTCCACCACCTCCCAACTAAACGCTTGACTTCTATAAAAAGCACTATTTCAGTGATAGTTACAGACTGGCTCTCAAACCCCAAACTATAAACAGAAAGGAAGGGTAAAAAGCAAACATTGCGTGCTGGGGACTTGGTGATCTTTCTGAAAGACTTGCTTGTAGAACTAGGAAAGTCTGACTGATCGTTGTAACCGTGACACAGAATAAGGTCCCACACCCAGCTATTCCACATCCCGCGCCGGTGGCCCGGAGGAAGAGCAGCCCAGGCCACCTGCACCTCAGCCTTCTTCACTGAGGCCACTCTCAGGAAAGCCTGGCAGACCTGGCTCCTGCACTGATTTTCCTTCTTCCTGATGAAAGATCTTGGATTTGTATCTCTCTATAAATGCTTTGGATCTCAAGCTCTCTTAGCACAGCAAACCCTGGCAGCAGTGAACTACTCTGACCCTTTGCTGTACTGCAACCTGGCCGCGTTCCATGGGGGTTAGGCAACCTCATGCTCTGTGAGCCCTCTGCTGCGATCAGGTTTGCTCATCCTCGACAACCGGTGGAAAAAAATAGTAACTCTTTCCTGTGTCCCCCACAGCACAACAACCTTGCCCTCCTTGCAGAGCTCTCAGCCTGTCCCACAAGGTCAAACCTGCACTGATGAGCTCATCTGACACATAGGTGTCCCATAGGCGTGAATGACATTATCACAAGTAGCTAGTAGTGAACATGTTCCCTCTGGCAGATCCTGTGGGCCCTGGGCTTCCCTTTTTTGAGATAACCCCTGCTGCAGCACAGCCATGGTCCATTTTCTTGATTTGCAGTCCCATAGCTGTTTGGCGAGTTGCTCATGGGTTACTTATCAACACGATGGCTCACCAGAGAGTGGTTACAACGCGTTACAGCTAACGTGCAGGACACTGAGCCCTTCTAGGTTGGGAGAGGACAAAAAGAAGCCAGCAGACTGTACCCAGGCAGAGGAAACCTCAAGGAGGCCACTGAGGAGACACGGTCCCTACTCCAGACAATGCCTGCGCCGACCGGCCCAGCCTTATCTCCTTCTCCAGACAGGGGCCCTGTGGAGGAGGCGACAGCGTCTCGCTGCCGGCAGGAAAAGGCGACGGATCTTCTCAGGAATCCTCCTCCCGCCACCCCCTGTCTCCAGCCCCATCCTGCCCGCCCGGGGCGGTACAGGCCAGCTTCGCCAGCCCACAGAGCCAGCTCAAACCCGCGGCCGAGGGGAATCGCTGCCGCCAGGGCCCCCGCCGTGCCAGTCAGCGCTGCGCCCGCCGGGGACACCCGAGGACACGGGCGGCTGAGGGGACGTCACCCAGCTCTCCACACAATATGGCGGACGGGAGGGAAGGGGGGGCGACATGGGCCCTGCCAATCAGGCCGAGCGAGCCAATCAGATCCCGAAGCTGCCCCGTCGGGGCGGGATTTGCCTTCCAGTGCGCGTGCCGCGGGAGGGTTAGTCCCGGCCTGCGCGCGCGGCCGCGGAGGGATATAGCCGGCGAGGCGCGGCGCGGCCGTTCCGAGAAGTGACGCGAGAGGTGGAAATTTCCCGGTCGCGGCGTCCCGGGCGGGTTGGGACAGGCGGGATGGGCCCGGCCACCGTCGCGGTGTGGCCTCCGGTGCCGCTGGTGGGAGGCAGCGGTGGGTGTCGCGTGACGCCGTTCCTCCTTTTCCGCTCATGTCTACGCTGAGGCGATGGCGGCCGCCCCACCGGCCAAGAACCCGTCGTTCTCCTCAGCGGGGAGCGGTTCGGGCACCCCCGTGCTGTCCCGGCCCGCAGAGGGACCGGCTCCCGCAGGAACGGGGACGGCCGAGCTGCCCCCGCCCCAGCAAGGCGCCGGGGGCTTCCAGAGAGGAGACGGGGCGTCGGGGCGGGGGGGGCAGCTGAAGGCCATGAAGTCCTGGTGCCGTATAAACGCGCTGTGCAGGATCGTAACTAAACGGTCCATCTTTTGTTAGAATAATCTTTCTCAGGCGGCGCATGAGATAACGAGAAGCTTTATTACAGTTACAACATCCTTGCCCACTTGAAAGGGGCCTGTTTCCAGCTCCCAAAACACTTTCTGACTGGAAACAAAGGCATCACCTGGGGGATTCGTGTCATCACATCAGCGGGAGCCTCGCCTGGGGTAACTGGGAAGCCGTGGCTTTAAAAATAATGACTTTCTAGCTAATAAAACTCAGTGTAGATCGTGGCCTGTGTGTCCCAACTTCTGTGCTGGGGGTGGCGGTTATGCTTTGAGCAGCTGAATTGAGTGAAAACCCTCCAAAATTTGGTCTGTGACCCGTTTTCTCGTCCTGTGGGGCTGGGGATCCAAACCTGGGGTAACACGGGGTGGTGGATGGGGTGGGCGGCCGTGGGGCGCTGGGGGCCTTCCCCCACCCTTCACTTGTATTTATAGACCTACGGCATCTTAACCTGCAGTAGCCGCTTCAACGTTTTTTTATTATTTTCATTAATAAAACCACTTCCGCCTGGTGGAAGGTGCCCTTTCCTCCTTCCAGCACAGCAACGCACAGCCCACCTCCAGCAGCATTGCGCCACATATTTCTGTTTATTTTCTTACTCAATTTTACAGATTATTCTTTTTCTCCCCCTCCCTCTGCGTGACGCGTTTCGAGCTCCCATAGCCCCGCACCCAGGGCCCGGGCCAGCGCACCGACGTGCTCTTAAAAACACAATGTAATTCCCTTCTTTTCTGCTTCATTGTAACCTTTCGCAGTGGAAAATGGTGTAAAAAAAAATATAATAACAATACAGAAGTGAATACAGCCAGCGGCTCCCCCCTTCTCCATGCACCCCCCACGGGGACCGCTCACCTCAGGCGGCCACCGAGGCCCGGGCGCAGCCCCAAGAGGAGGCCGCGCCCGTCTCCCCCCCCCCCCCCCC